CAAAATTTGTTTTCTGGTCACTAAAACAATTAAACTGATGTTTCCACCCTGGAATTCAATGCCACAATGACTGTAACATTCAAAGTCAGAGTCGTGCAAATCTTGGGTTGGACCCCCATGATGATCCCAAGCATCACCTGCATTCCATGCGGTAACTATTGGTGCGTTTGGGCGTCACATGTAACTGGAAATGTTTCTTCTGTTAGGTTCTATAGTGACTTTTTTCGTAGTCATTTGCATATTTTAGTATTATGCCCCCAAAATCAAATATCCCCTACTTTTTTTGAATAGTATATTAGTAAACGAGACTTTATTACGCTCGTATATGATTATCTGTATATTATAACATTTATAGCTTCAGAAAATCCAGAAGATAGTTGCACGAAATATATCCAATTAAAAGGATCATAATATGAGTGATAAACACATTTATTAATCTCAGACTAAGATTCTTTCAGGAAATGATGTTTATGGATCACGGAATCTGGGTACAATATAACCAGAGGCGGATGCGGATCCCCTAATTTTCGACATTGCCCTTTTTTACTGCTGAAAGTGCCTGTTCTCAGACCCAAATATGTCCGTTCCCAACCCGTTGCAGGGATCCCAAATGACTCAAACCATCGACTCAAACACACCAGTCTGGTCCAATTAATGCTTCCACTCTCAAACGAATTCTTGTTGTTTAGCTGACGGTGGCCTAATCCTATAGAGTGACTATAGACAGACATCAATGATAGCATCTTGTTAAAATAGTGAAGTGGCTAGGGAATAGATTCGTCTTTTTTCCCATCATAATGACAATTTTCGAGTCGCGTGTTCAACTGGCTACAGATGCAGGAAATGAGGGATAATTTTCTTGCCCCCCCCCCACCCTCTCAGCGGTGTGCCGCGTCTCTGCGGTCAGTGCCCTCATTTTGCGGCGCCCCCCCCCTTTTCAAAATTCCTAGATCCACCCCTGATAACCTCGCCCCTGTTCTGTCCTCCTGTCAACAATTTTTAGAAGTTTTTCATCTGAGCGTTTACCGTCACGCATTCTTCGAATTGCAATAAGTTTATTTCTGATGCACAGGTGTAACAACTAAATCTTGATTTTCATTCTTAATAAAAATATCTAACCCAGCATTAATCCCATATCTGTGCAATCTCAATTTTATTGGTAGATCTTGTGATATACATCATACGATACAAGAAAAGATAGTACGTATCCCAAGGAATATTTGTTTTACACCTTGGAGTGCGCAGAAAGGTTGACCAAAAGCTAAAGTTGATTATATAAACATATACTAAATGGCACGAGAAATCACTCTCCATGATCAAACAAACACTGTGAGTAGTGCTATATAAAAGACAATTAAACTTCTTTGAATCATCGCCATCGGTAGAACCACTTCCCAGTCTTTTTCGAATCTTTCTTAAATCCCCAATCTGACCGATCCCCAGACACAGCAGTGGAGTACAGGGGCGACTTCCACGGGCATGGATCCATTTTAGCTACAATTAAATGTATCGTTAAACTGTCTGTGTTTAACGCTACTTATTGATACAGTCTAAGACTCCTTACGCAAGTTCAAATAGGTTCAAACGCACAATTGTCAACACATACCATTACAGTTTGTACTGAAATAAGTAATTCTATCACAAATAGCTAGTGAAGACTGAACCACTAAAATAGTTATCGAACGGTTTTACTTTGTGGTAATGCGCTCTACATTTTCACAGCCATGTTTCTTATAATGTGAAAGCCGCCATGACACCGGCCAGTTGAAATAACTTCGGTAGGCGAGAAATTTCGCGTAGCAGCTAGTTGGGTTTCATATCATTATATGCGGTATTAAGGCTTCACCTTTATTTCAATGGGAATTGGTTTATTATATGTTCAGCTATGTGCAGTACAGTTTTGGGTCAGTTTATGTGTAAATTAAGGGAGCTATAGGCAATAACCTTTTTGTAGTCATTTGACTAAAAAACTTGCGCAAAGGAACTCCGTAGGACGAGCCACTACTGTGGCTGAGGTAAGGCGGAAGACATCAGTAGTGGAACCATTTCTAGGATCCATTTCAGGGGGCATACAATAGGTTCTTTTAATTATAACTTCGTTGTACAAAAGCTGCCCTATCGAAAGATTGTTTAAAATGTGGATCCGCGTTTGAATTAGCTGTAAAGATCGCTTAACACAGTACACCACCAAACCTTTCGGCTGTGCTATAATATAGACCACAGAATACACGCAAACAGTCGATCAACCCATCCATGCAATTCACTTGGTTCTGGGAAATTATTCCGCGTCTTATACGGAATGGATGGTTGAATGGTTAGCACGTGCGTGCTGTATTATGAAGTATGTCATTGAGGTTAACTGGCGTGGTTTCGAATCCCCGGTTGTACGTGACAAGGAGTAGGGTCGCCTGTCCAACTTCGTGGGTTTTCTCCGGGTCCTCCGGTTTCCTCCCACTGCTAAAGACCCCTACGCGCAAGCGAATTATGGAAATAAAATTGAACCATGTTAGTCCCGAAATGACATAGTTTGTGTCGAGTGGACGTTAAACCCCATCTCTCTCTCTCAGCTCTTATACTTAATATTCTTAAGAATTGGATGGGGTGGGGGCATATCTATCATCAAACCTCTGCATGTCACTAATAACCTCCATGTATGGCAACACGTCATATATAATTAAAAATAATAATGGATGTCTTTCCGACAAAATACATTCGGTGCGAGGGGTCAAACAGGGATGTGTGCTTAGTCCCACGCTTTTCAATGTATATGTTAATGACTTGCAAGACCACTTCAAATACTCCACAAATCCCATAGACTCCCCCACGTTAAATAATACTCCAATTTCCCATTTACGTTTTGCTGACGACCTTGTAATGCTATCAACAACAGCAAATGGTCTCCAAAATAGCATTACTTGTTTAACACAGTTCTCCAATGATTCAAAGATATCAGTAAATGCCATAAAATCAAAAGTCATGTTTTTTAATAATGGGAGCAAACTAAAAAAAAAACTACACAATTTAAATTTGGCAACCATGTATTAGAATATGTAAAATCGTATATGTACCTTGGTGTCTAAATAACTGATAACAACTCATTTAAAGCTGCTATGTCTGATCTAAATAAAAAGGCGAGAAAAGCTTGGTTTTCCATTAAGTATAATTTCCTACCAACCGATATTTTGACTAAACTGTACCATGCTATTATTAAACAAATTTCAATTTATTCATCTGATATATGGGGTTCTCAAATTGTCCACAGCAAAAATTCGGATCTGAAAAAATGGGATAAATTAGACTTAAACATGCATTATGCAAGAGCAAAACCTGCTTATTACAAGTCTTTCTTTAGGCCTGAAATTATCAATTAGACATTAATTAACTTATCCAGACCATAATAAACTCTCGATGTCAAGGCTAGCCTTCGATGTAGGCTGGATTAGATTCCTATATGCCGCTAACGGCCAAAGATAATTAAATCAGAAAAAGTGGATAATCGAGACTATGCTGTTTATATTAATGGTTTTAGTAATGATAACCGAGACTATGCAAAAATTTCACCGGCTTCAATCTCGGCTCATAGTGGATCAATTTGACTGAAATTTTCAGCAAATTACCTTTACACTATCTAGTTTTTAACTATTATACCGAGAACTGACATCTCTTTATCTTATCTCCCATAATGTATCTTTAAATAAAATCACCAAAAAATGTAAATCCATTTTAGCGCAACCTACAAAGGCATCAAATATTGGCTGCTTAGCCGAAGCTCAAATATTCCCGCTACAAGTTGATGTGTATCGTAGAATGCTTTCATATTTTAAACGTTTATCCAACCCACAACTCAGTATAAATAACCGAATTCTTTTTTCTTACTTTAAAGAGGATAGTACTTTAGCGTGCATTAACCCTAAACTCTCTTGGACAGCAGCCATTGCTGATTTGTTAAATACTTTTAATATATCATCTTTCAATCCATCATCAAATGAAATTACTAAATGCCTTGAAGACAAATTCAATGAAGTTTATGCCAATCTATGCTCTTCAGATACCCAGAAACTAAGAACATTTTATAGGTTTAAAAAGAATATCAAGGCTACGGTGCCCTACCTGCAAGCTGTTAAAAATCCTAAAACTAAAACCGCTATGTCCCGCCTAATTAGACTAAGCACACATTCCCTTGAAATAGAGAGAGGGCGATACAAGAATATACCTGCACATCTGCGGTTTTGCACAAACTGCCCTCAACAGAAAGTTGAAAATGAGTATCATTTTCTCATTGAATGCAACCGCAAGACAATTGTTTATGGGGCATTTGAGACCCAAATCTATCCATTTTCTTTCGAAAACATGTTTAAATATAAATATATAAAAAGTAATAGGATATTGCAATAGAAATCTGTGCATAGATTGCCAAATAAATTGGTAATACTAATGCTATATTCCCGAGAAAAGAGCGAAAAGAATCAGTATCTTGTGTGAATGTTTCGTGATGTGCCAAACTATCGTTGCCATCATTTTAGTTTACCGTTATTCGAAGTGCGGTTGTCCGGATTGACACTGGTGTAGGCCTAAGTGCACATCCTCGATATCTTAAATGCCAGAATGTGTGTGTCGCAGTGTAAATGGTGGTAATATCCGACACCAGTGTGTGAGTGTGGGAAGAATTTTGAAACAATTTTTCATTTGTCACACCACAACCCACTCATTACCATTATAGCGCAATAGCCCAGATAAATATCCTGTTTTATCTAAATAATACTCAAAACAACTTTCCCTTTACTAAACAGCGTATTAATACAAACACATACTTTATGTATCCCAAAACAGCCCGTGGGCAATGCTTCTTTAGTATTATGGTCAGTAATCTGTTTTCTTTGCTATTAATTAAAAAAAGAAAAAAAAGCGATATAAATATAATTGATAAATCGGAGTTGCTGTAGGAACTACTTTATGCGAATGACAGTAAGTGGTTGTGATGAGTCAAGGCGGGAGAGAAGAAAACCAGCTGAAATGAACGTCCACTCAACAGTAGAAGAGGTTTGTTGTGTAGTACACAGGACACGAGTCTACTACAAGTTCCATAATGGCAGAACTTGCCATTTTTCTGTGCCTCCTATTATTTAAGTCAGTAGAAAGTGTGAACAGTAATGAAACGTAAGTATTTTAAAATTTATAAAAGATTTTGAAATTATTTATCAACTTCGAGAATAGACAAAAAAAAAAAAAAAAAAAAAATTATATTACGGTAAAAAATGTATTTATTTTACTACTCAGGTTTTAATTTTTTCAATGATTTTGCATTATTAGTTTAATTGAATTGTCAATGCTAACTGAATTATTTCATTGTTTTTCATTGTTTATAAAAGATTTTGAAATTATTTATCAACTTCGAGAATAGACAAAAAAAAAAAAAAAAAAAAAAATTATATTACGGTAAAAAATGTATTTATTTTACTACTCAGGTTTTAATTTTTTCAATGATTTTGCATTATTAGTTTAATTGAATTGTCAATGCTAACTGAATTATTTCATTGTTTTTCATTGTTAGTTAAATTGAAAACCGTTATTTTATCGTCAATCAAAGTTTGCAACACTTTCATAGTCTATAAGAATAAACAGACCTGATCTGCAAATATGCTGACAGTAGTGGAAGTGACAGGTGTTGTGCATAGGCAGCATATTCTACTTTTTGTTTCTTATAAATAGCTAACAGTTCATTTTGATTTTATATTGTCCATTCCCATGATATTTTTATCTCCATTCTAAATCAACTTATTTAAAGTAGCCCATTTTAAAGTATATTATTGGTATTAATGATAACCATATTACAACTACTGTGAAAAATATATTTGTTGCCAAAAACAATCTTATGAGATACTTCATTTTTAACTTACAACAAATTTTAGAGAAAGCCGATATTATTAATGATACACCACTCATATTTTATATACAATTAGTAAGTGATTGAGCTCTAGCAATGTACACAATGTTCTTCAGCAGCAGGTTCTCATAGAAATGGCAAACCACTGGTTGACAATCAGTAATAATAATGTTATCGGTATTTAATTTTGTCTTATGCAGTTTGTCTTTAATGCGTTTGTTTTTTTTACTGAGCATCAGAAACATAATAGACTTCCAGATAAAATATAATTATAATAGATAATAATAATAATAATAACTTTATTTAGATAACCTAATTATGCAGTAAGTTACATAATCTAAGGAGCACACATAATTATATTATAGGCCTAAACTGAATTTCCAAAACAAAGCATAAAGAAGTTGAGGTTGTATAAAACAAAGACTACAGATTATGTTTTATTGGTACATGTAATTCATTCTCAGAGAAACTCAAGATAATACAAATACTATTCCTTTATTTTTGCATTTCTAATAAAAAGATATTACCTCACCATGTGAGATGTCATATCATCTTGAAAATTATTTATTTACTAATCCAGGAAGACCTACATGTAGAGTAAAGTTCTAAAACATGTTACTCTTTGTCGCATTTTATTTAATTAATGGGTGATGCTTCATAAGAAAGAGAGTCCTAGAATTTTGAAAGATGGAAGGAAGAATTTTACGTTCTTCTTTGATTATGTACATGTATGATAGACATGTAACTTGCATGTGTCTTTACACTGTAGATAACACTATATACATTATATATCTACATGAGTACATATTATATTAGAATACTAAGATAAGAAGTTATGTAATTTGCGGTTAAAACCCAGTATAGTGGAGAAGCTAATAATTATTAGGATTAATGTCTGTGATTATTAGTGGTAGCAATGATTTATCTTGTTAAGCTGTTAATAAATTTAGCAGACGAACTCAAATATTTCTCTTCATGTTGATTATATCAGAAAAACAAATTCAGTGTAATAGAAAATGGATATCTTGAAACTTTTTATATTCTTGCAATTCAAACACACAATCTAAAGGTCAGGTTTGTTTTTTGTCATAAGATATTTATCACATCACAAAACTTGTGGATGGGCAGACTACCATAACAATTAAAGATCAATATTATAAAATATCCAATACAAGAAATATGCATCAAGTTATAACAAAAATAACATTAAAGGCGTGAAACCTTGATTTATGTCAAATTAGTTAACTATCAACTGTTAACCAAACAATTGGGTATTTCTCAATCTGATTAAAATACATATCTATATTTCGTTTCGTTTTTTATACTTTCGATGGCCTACACTACATGGAAATCTGACCGGTTGTAGTGGGAGGTCACGTCAGAGGTCATACGAGCGGCTTTTTACCCTGTGACGTCAGACATTGATTAATCAACCAGTACCATTGACGTTTCTAGTGGTTTACACACAGTTCGGTGCATTACACGCCAAGAACTGGGCGTGACAGACTGTTTCATTGGCTAATCCCTCACATTAACCAGAACGCGGCTAATATAACAACTCTTCCAGATCCTAGTGTTGTGAAGACAAGTAAAACGAAATTTTTAACTATAAAAAACGAAACGAAATAGGATCTGTGTTTTAATCAGATTGGGTATTTCTCAGGTTTAGCATTAATTTTTTTCTACAGAAAGATGTTCACAATCACATCAAATGTAATTAAATTGCCATATTTACTTTTCACTTTTTTGAAAGGGTCTATTTTGTGAATAGAGTAATTGCCCATCAGCAGCTGTATGATTATAATGAGTAACTGAAACTTTTGTAAGTCTGCTGGTCTTCAATATGATCAATCTGATTAAAATACAGATCTGTATTTCGTTATGTTTTTTTTTTATATACTTCCGATGGCCTACACTACATGAAGATCTGACCGGTTGTAGTGATAGGTCGCGTCAGAGGTCATACGAGCGACATTTGACCCTATGATGTCAGACATTTGATTAACCAATCAGCATTGATGTTTTTAGTGGATTACCCACAGTTCCATGCACCACATGCCAAAAGCTTGCTGTAACAGACGGTTTCATTGGCTAAACCCTCACATCATCCAGAACATGTCAATGATAACAACTCTTCCAGATCCTAGTGTAGTAAAGACAAGTAAAAGAAACAAAATAGGATCTGTGTTTTAATCAGATTGCAATTATGGTGAGAGAATTAGAAATGGTGTCTTGAGATAAAACTGGATATCTCTTAATGTGAATTGTATGGTGGCTGATAGTGGCCATGTTAAATCTCGCCCTTTTCATAACGCGACAACACGACATCACGACAGTATTGACGCAATCATACGACACTTTATTCTGTCGTATCATCGTGTTATTTTTATCGTAACGTCGAGATGTCGACTTATTGTCCTAGTCTCTTTCTACAAGTCACAAAAATACAGCTGTACTCATTACATCATATATAGGCCTAAGTAGTAGATTTGATAAATATAAAAGAGATAGTAGGAAAACGTTGATTAATTATTTGTTTTCTCAAAATAATGAAACATTTTGTGTCCACAAGTGAATTATATTTGGTATTATATTTAAAAAATCTAGAATTACAATAGCAGGACCAAAGTGAGTTAACTAAGTTAATTCCTTGAAGAAAAAGTGGTGTCGGGAGGTATCACACAAGTAAGCATTCATTGCCATGTGTACGACACCCACCAATATTTATAGATGACTGGAGCGATAGTTTAAAAATGATTTCAGAAGACAGGGTGGGAAGGGGATTGTAAAAAAACCAAATCGGGTCACATTCTTTAAAATCACAGCATTATCATAGTGCAGCACGTCACCCCAATAGTTGCAGGAGTCTTTTTTTTTTTTGAATGAGGTGGAGAAAACGATTCACAGCCTGTCATTGAATCAACTGGCGTGGTTTTGAATCCCCGGTTGTATGTGACAAGGTGTAGGGTCGCCTGTCAAACCTCGTGGGTTTTCTCCGGGTCCTCCGGTTTCCTCCCACTGCTAAAGACCCCTACGCGCAAACGATTTATTGAAATAAAATTAAACCATATGTTAGTCCCGAAATGACCTAATTTGTGTCGAGTGGACGTTAAACCCCCCTCTCTCTCTCTCTCTCTCTCTCCCTCTCTCTCTCTCTCTCTCCCCCATTTGACATCACTAATGGGATTGAGGCCTAGATGAGTAAAAATAGGCCCAGTAATATCTTCAACTATGAACACACTCTAAAAGCCTCATACCCCCCCCCCCCCCCCACGTCACCCAAATGGATGCAGCGTTTTTTTATGAGGTGGAGTAAACGATTCGCAGCCGTTATTGACCTTATCGCATATAGGCTTGCATCCGTTTGACATCACTGATGGGATTGGGGCCTAAATGAGTAAAAAAAGGCCAAGTAATATCTTCAACTATGAATACACTCTAAAAGCCTCATACCCCACCCCACGTCTCTTATTTAGTTTTACAAATAATTCCAGAATCAATAAAATGGTATCAATGATGTTTGATACAACTGGAAAATAATATGTCAAAAATTGATTAAACATGAGAACTATTATTACATATTGAATCCGTATCAGTGATAACGTACATTTACTCAATATGTTCCTTCCAATGGATCATCATTTAACATGAAACAAGGAAAGCAGCGATCAAGAAAAAGATTTAAAAACACACACATTTCAATATGACAGTAGTGATTCGGTCATGCATTTACATTCGAGAGTGTCATGCTTTCTTTGAAAGTAATGATTGTGCCAAATTTGAACAAAGTCAGTTTACATTCGCGGCCTATAGGTAGAGTGTTGACAGATCAAACGTACAAAAAAACAAAGAAAAAACCAGACCTATAAAAATATATTTCTAAAACTCTTTTAATTTTGAAATAATATTGTTTTCGCGTGTGCTAAGTGTTTCAGCGAATACATGTAGTTACAGAAAGGGTCTTGTAGATTAAGACTATAGCGCATGTGCAGTTTCAAACTTCCGAGACGACAAGTCGACAAGTCGATGATACGACAAAACCAAACTGTCGTATCATCGACTTGTCGACTTGTCGTCTCGGAAGTTTGAAACTGCACATGCGCTATAGTCTTAATCTACAAGACCCTTTCTACAACTATTCGCTAAAACACTTATCACACGTGAAAACAATATAATTTCAAAATTAAAAAAGGTTTAGAAAATATATTTTCATAGATCTGTTTTTTTTAAGGTGTTATCTGTCAACCCTCTGGTATAACTACAGACTGCGGAA